TGCTACGATTGTCATACAATTCCAGCGTCAACGACTAGCATTACTAATTTTTTTTATTGACAATAGTATATTCACTTTCTAGTAACGTTGACGATATACACATCAAATTATTTAACTAAAATATATAATATTACATTAGAGAGGAATATATATATATATATATATATATTCACAGTTTTGGGTCTAGACAGATTCTTTCTTATGCAAAGGAATAAATAATGATAGTATATATACATATATAGTTTGTTTAAAGTTTTACGAGATAATGACAGTGGTGATGGTGTACACTAGTCCGTTTCCCAACATACCTACTTTGATTATTTCTTCCTATCCTGTTGTTACTGTTATCCTAATACCATTCCTTGTTGTTGGCGTTGACTTTGTTATTTGTTTCTTCTTTTTACTTTTTTTTAAAAAAAAAATCAATTTCGCTAATTTCATACTAACCAGATGATGATCTTGTTAACAAAATATTCCATTAATATAAATAATTTTGAAAATTGTTAATTATTAACATGAATTATACGCTTATACATATGTATACACATACAATGGTGCATATATATATATATATATATATTGCTTAAATAAATGAATTTGGTTATAGTGTTACATTTTTAAAAAGAAAAATTATTAATGATGATATTCGTGATAAAAGTATTGAATGTAATGAGATAACAAGTATTTATGCACATATAAGATGCTTCTGATGAGGTTTGTAAAAGATGAAATCAAAGTTAGTTGAAAAGATGAGTTATTCCACTTTTCTTACAAGTTATACCTTGTCCTGTATGCTTGTGTACTTTCATTTATTATTTATACATGTATATATATAATGTCAGCAAAACGAAATTCTACTAAATTCTTGACACGAAATTAATGCTTTCGCAAATTTACATATTAATGCAATTACAATAAGTAATTAGGCTATTTTATGTAGTTTTAATTAGATGTTTCTTTAAAAAAAAAAGAAATACATATTACATGAATCTGGTGACAACTATAGTTAGTGAAGAAAAAACAGACTAATATTGTTGTCTGGTTCGAACATGAAACTTTGTGATAAGTGCATGTGTGTAATGTCAATTGATGTACTGTAGAAAAAAATAAGACACTTGAACGTTTATTAGTTTTTGATATCAATATATGTATTCGGCTCGGATTTGAATTGGTCATTTTTTTTCATGCAACAATTATTCACACTCACAAACATGTACACATAACATAAACATTATATTGTAATATTCTGTACCAATTATTGGTTATTTAAGCCCATGATGATAATTGATATAAGATCTTTTACTTATCACTGTGTATTCACCAAGGCAGTATTAATCATCCGATTAATATTAACAAGACCTGAACACCCTGGGTTCGATCGCTGGTGGGATTGTAGGCGCATATGACTGAACAGTCTCATTCTAGGATGAGTGCTTCCTGATTTTCTGTGATGTATAAGCGTAATTGGTCTATAATAAATAAAACCTACAAACTAAATCAATTTCGACGAAACTTTTCTAACTATAATAATAAATATTTACGAAGGAAGATTTATATCCAATTAGTATTCGTTTCACTAGATATTCCTTTCATCTGTTAATTTATAAAAAATTCAAATGTGGTAACACGTGCGATGATTACTTGAAATTTGAAATGTACATGGACTGCAATAGAGCAAAGTGGGCTCTAAAATCTGTAAAAACAGGTATTATATTGGTAATTTTAGTAAAAAAATAATCAAAACCTTAACATTAAAATTTGAGAATGAGGGTAAGTGTTGTTGAAACAATGTTGGACTTATGAGAAAAGTCTCGATCTTTTTTATATGAAAAATATACATTTAGTCTTTGTAAATAGATCATAAATATTAAATGAATACATTAATCAATTCCTGAATAGAAACTAATAATATCCGGTATTTAGTGGTAGGCTCTTAAGAGTAGTTGCTAGGACAGACTGGACCTAGGTTTCATCCTACTTGGCACTTTTCAACAAGGCGCACGTGTAAGGGGTATGCTACTCATACGGACAGATATAAGTAGTGTGTATCAAAACTGGAAGTAGGACTCTTACTGACGGAAGAGAAACGTGAGAACAGGATTTAAAGAACGATTAAGCTTATTTAAAAAAGATACACATTGTATTAGATTGATTGTTTTCAAATTTCACAAATGTAGTGTGTAATTTTGCTCAGTACAATAAATTGGTTCATTCTAAACAAGTCTTTGTTCCTTACACATTTAATGTTGGTAGAAATGGTTTTTACAATGAATCCAACTAGCGTTTCTAAGCCTTACGGTCTGCGATGCCATCGCTGTATTATTCTAGCTGCAAATAACTTCCTGTATTATTGAGGTATTTACGTCGGCTTATCGACAAGTAGTGATCTATGTAAATAACTATCAGTGCCCTCAATATTGCAGGTTCACCTTACTGACCACTGTCTACCAGCAAGAAATATGGGTTCAATTAAATCCGACGGCCCAGTCTTAAAATCTGAGTTCAGGTGATGCTAAATTACTTAGATTAGTGACCACACCACACCTTGACTAACATAATTCGATCAAAACCAAGGACTGGCCAAATACGATACTGATCGTCACTCAGTCAGTTAACATTATAGTGTCTAATCTTTGATAACAATTGAAAATTTTTTCATAATGGCTGGAATATGACTATTAGGTCAGATGATTTGATATTGCCATATACTTATAATGGATTTCAGAATATTGAAGGTAATCTACCTGAATAACCATGTGGCAAAGTCTCTGACAATGATATTGACTTTAACTGATCTAAATCTTTCCAAGACTAAAAGTCCTTTCAATAGTACAAACACATCTCATTAACGAGTCTCGACAAAGACTAATTATAACCCTAGCATTCCTAGTGAACTCCCTTTAAATATCTAAAATTATATGGGTTATTTCATTAGTAAAATGAATAGTACCACTGATCATGATATTTTTTACTTTGGAATCAAAACAACTGATGTGCAGCAATCGATGAAATGTTTTAGTCGTTCAGCATCATTTACTGTCCAAGCAATTATATTTGCTATCCATTGGTAATAGATTTCCAAGCTAAAAGTCAATTAGTTAGTATCTCACTATAGCCGTCAACATTTTTGACTTGTATGGTATTCATTATTCATTGTAAATTTTTAAACATTTCGTTTGTCATTGTTCAGGACTGAAATGATAAGTCACTATTGGTATATGAATTACTTGAATGTATGACATTACCCAGATTGTCAAATAGATAATAATTTAGATATTGGTTATTAACGAAATCTATCCCTTTCATTCCATTGTCCTATGCTTAACATTATAGTACCAATGCACTTATTAATTCCAGCTTAATTTCAAATATATGCACTTTACAGGTTGAAATCATGAGTCAGTTGAAGCTAGACCACCATGGAAAACCTGGAAGCACTGGACGGCCGTTTCGTCCTAGTATGGGACTCCTCAGCAATGCTCATCCAATACTAGAACGAAACGGCCGTCCAGTGCTTCCAGGTTTTCCATGGTGGTCTAGCCTCAATCGACTCGTGATTTCAACCTGTGAAATTTCTAAAACTCTCCACAAAACCCATTCTGATATACACTTTAAATTCATCATAATGATTATTATGTATTATTATAATTATTAGAGGGTTTATTCAATATTATATTTTTGGTACAGTACTCATTATCATAATCTTCAACTACTTATATTATCAGTTAATCGACTCATGAAATTAGAGACTCTATTACGCATTCATTTACACTGATTCATTTACAGGGAACCCTAATTCCAATTTATTCAGCTCAAATTCCATTTATCGCTAATACGCAGTCAGGAAACCTTTTATTAATCTGAATTATTTTCAGTCATAATTTCTACGTAACTTACTCTGCACACTAAATCGCAACAGTAATTAACCGGGTAAATGAAGTTCTAAATGTTTATTCAGTAACATGTAAAAGATTTATTATTAGCTAAATAATTTCTTTCACTTATAATTTGAGTCTGTGAGACTTAAAATTAATGAGTAGATTCTGGTAGTTATAATTTCTGATTTCATAATGTAACAAATCATATCAGATGGGTTTTGTGGATACTATAGTAATTTCAATGGTTAAGATCATGAGCCAGCTGAAGCTAGAACACCATGGAAAACCTGGAAGCACTGGACGGCCGTTTTGTTCTATTGTGGAACTGTTTGGCAGTGCGCATCCATGACCTCGCCCTCTGTGATATTCGAACCCGGGACCTACTGGCTTCGCGCGCGAGCGCTTAACAACTAGACCACTGAGCCGGCATCCAACGGTGTTAATGTTTAACTTCAACCAATCCACGAAATTGAGCGACACATCCACCATTGTCTTCAGTGAGTTACTATCTCACAACAGACCTGGTTGAACTCTACTGGTCACTACTTCTCACTATAACTCCAGGATATACCTCGTGAAGCCAGTCACTAGTGAGCATATGTTGATTAATATCAGATGGGTTTTGTGGATATTATAGTAATTTCAATGGTTAAGATCATGATTCAGTTGAAGCTAGACCACCATGGAAAACCTGGGTTCAAATCTCGCAGGGCGCGAGGTCGTGGATGCGCACTGCTGAACAGTCCCATAATAGGACGAAACGGCCTTCCAGTGCTTCCAGGTTTTCCATGGTGTTCTAGCTTCAACTGACTCATGATCTTAACCATTGAAATAAATCATATACCAAATATTCGCTATTCAAATCTTTCTTTACAATAGCATCTGTGAAAACTGTCAACAAACAGTTTATTTTCTAAATTCCGCTCTAATGTACCTAAACCTTCTTCTACTTACTCTAAGAAATTTCATTGGCTACATTTACTAGATGGATAAAAATTTTACTCAATTATTATTGGTTGACATGAAGCGCTTAATTTTTTATTTACATCATATTTTATTTTGATTGGTCGCCTATTCAACAACTAGCGTTCTTTTGTTTATTGAAGCAGAAAACGAAAATTATTTAATTGTAAAATCAAAAATTACACGTTGAATAATAAACAATCATAAAATTCATAGTGATCATTATTATTTTCAACAAAATGTTGAATAACTCAATGGATTATGAGAATATGGAAGATATCTTACCGAACACATCAAATTATTTTTCATATTGTAACCAGCGTGTGGATATAAAAACTCATGACAGTAATTTGAGAAATATTCAAACAGACAATGAGAATACAGTCATGACAAAAGCATCAAAACAATTACATTTTTCAATAGATGCCTTGCTAGATTATGACGATATTGATGGCAATGCTAATGATGAAAATGGTGACAATGATGATGATAATGCTGATGATGATGATGATGACGATGATGATGACGACGACAATGATGGAGATAACGAAAATATCGACAATGACAGTTGCAATCATTGTCGCAATCTGGTTAATTCTGATGAAAATAACTTAGGGTTCAAAAATTCTATTCATCCAGAAATCGACGGTAATAATTGTAACAATAGTAACAGCGACGATAATAACAACCACCATTTCAACAGAACCACCTCGTTACTCAATGAAACTAAAGTCAATAGTAAAAAATCGCATGGGAAATCTAATCATGATATTGGAAGTGAAGAAAAGTTTACCAATAAGCTTAAAAAACATCATGACGTTAAATCATCAAGAATAAATCAAAATAATAAAGTTTCTACAAGTTCACCATCCTATAATTATTCAAGCAAAGATACTACTGACAATAATATAAATAATAGTAATCATATTGATAATGAAATAAATCATAATCAAATGTCTTATTTTAAGAAGCATAACTTTTTTAATTCATTACACGAATTATCATTTAATGATTATTTAACATTTGGTAATAGTGCAATTGGATGTAAGTCAGTGAAATTTACCCTTCCTATTTTTATTTTCCCCCAATTTTAATCATAATATATATAGGACACTAAGATATTTTATTGTAGTAATCTAATGATAACATTTTCAGAATTTAATTTCATCGTGGCAGGCCACACGGAGTGATATTCGGATTAACGATCTTAGGATACATCGTCAAATATCCATTTAACACTATATGAAATACTGTTTTTAGCCAACAGAGTAACTATTTATTTCAGTTTTCGAGCATGCAGCGATTTAAATTCATTAGGTTTGTGAAAAATGTGCTTGGATATTTGAAATGGAAGGTACTGGATTTGAATATATATGTGAACATTAACACTGAATTGTAGGTAGTTCCAGCTGACGAGTCCCAAATAGGATGAAACATGGTATTTATTCCGCTGCTAGTTACTATCACACTGCATGAAAAAATTTAATCAGTCATTTTCTCCTTGATTGGTTATGAAAATAGTAAATTCACTTTAGTTTAATGAAAATTTCTAGTATGAAATTCATTATATTCAAGTTTAGTTCTGATTAATCCATTGTTAAATTCTTGAGTGATCAGCAAAATTGTAACAGGCAGTTTATTAACGATCAAAGTAATTGGTTTTCAACAATCAAATCATGCCTTACAACTTAGCTTCATCTACTTCAGCTTGAATAGTGGGTTAGTGTCGTTAAACCATCTTCACAGGAAATGTAACTTCAAGCCAAGTATATTAATCTATCATTAGTAAATAAGTTATGTAAAGTTGGTTCGATTCAATAAGTTTGATCTTAATAAAAATAGATACTTAACAGAATAGAAATAAATAGTTGTGAGAAAAATCAATAAACTTTTCTGTTAGAATATAATTTATGTGTATTTGTTGAATGTTAAATTGTATAAATGCAATTGCTTGGAATGTAAATATCATTAGATTGTCTATGACTGTTTTGGACCTAAAAGTAGATGATAATTTAATAATTTTATCGGTGATAGTTTGGTGATCACAACATACTAGTATTAATTTATTTGCCAAGTAAAGATTTGTGTGTTTGGCTCCAAGTAATACTCCAAATGTGACAGCTAATGATATTATCCGATTGCCCAAACAGAAGCAGATTGAGCGAGGTTCAGACCTGTGACTCTGGCTAAAATTTGAACGTCTTAACCAGTGAGTCACTTTTCAACATACAACATACGGTTTTCGGTTGTGCTGTATATTCTAAATTATACGGTTTAATTTGACAGCTTTCATTGTTATTCTAGACACACATCTTCAAATCTTACTTTATGCAGACATACACTTTCCAGTTATTCCACAATAGTTACGTCAGTCCATCCCGATGGTCTTGCTTGCAATTGGCTGCCTTAGTGGATTTTGTCTTCTTCATTTTTCTTCGTATTCATGCTGACCATTATTTCCGGCCGACCTCGACAAGTGACTTATATGTCGCATAGATATTCTGTACCCCTTTGTACAAATATTAATGTGTTCAAATAAATAAATCAATCAATCAACAATTAAACGACATGGCTCAAAGATACCGCACCACTAAAAGACTAGAGGTCAACTAGCAAAGACAGACAACATGAATACAAAGACAAACGAAGACGACAAAATCCACTAAGACAACTAACCACAAAGAAGACCATAGGAACGAACTGGTGTAACCATTGTGGAATAGCTGGAAAGTGCTCTTCTACATGAAGTAATCTTCAAAAATATATCCAGAATGACAACGAAAGCTCTCAAATTAAACCGCATAACTAAGAGAATACAGCACCACCAATAGCATCCATTCGTAGACGTAAATGATGACTATCATTTCCATAGTGTATAGTTTTTAATTAGACAACTTTTAAGGCCAGAATCTTGCACATTCATCTTCTAGTTCGAACAACCAACTGAATAAATAATCCTGTGTAATTAATAAAAGAACAAACAGTAGTCACATCCATCTTATGACTTATCAACAGGACGAAACAAATCTCCTAAAATCCACAACAAATCCATTCTTAAAATGCGTTTTTTGTTTATTTTGTTAAACCTAAAATATAAAGTGTATACAATGTCATTGTATCCTTACAATTGATGTGCAAATGTAGAAATTTTAATATGTAAAATATTTTATCCACATGTTTTTTCTTCTTCATTGAAACCTATTTTGCTAACTTTTGAGATTATGATTATGATTTAGCAATCAGACACACATTTGTTAAACCATCCATTGATCGATTAGTTCAGTATTAACATCTCAAACTATGAAACTAAGTGACTCAGATTTGAATCCCAAAAGAAGCATTAGTTCACGTAATACTACAGATACATCTTGCCAATGAGTACCAACTAGCACGGTACATATGTCCAGGATTTTCTGCTAATTGCCTCCAACCGCTTATAACTTCAGCATAGTGTAGGCGATATAGAATTACTTAGAATAGTGGCCAAATTGTAACATAAAATTCGATTAGCACCAATGACTAGACAAATATAGCATTGGTTACTGTTTAGTAGTCAATCAACAGTACGTTTGTCCGTATGATGTAGTCATGCTCTCTTTGTACGAGATTTTCACTACTGAAGTCAAAATAGATAACGATATCATTAATAGGATTGGTAGATCGACCATCTATGTCACTAATTGACTGGAGTTGAGATCATACTATTGGACACACAGCATTAGCTACGAGACTTGAGGTTGTACCTTCAATCGTTGTTGGATTCGTTGATGAAAATTCAGAGGCGTTCCATACTAAGGCGAAACAGTTCTACAGGGCTTTCTGATCTTCAATAGTAATTGTGTTATTTATCTATGCTACTCCTGTTACTCCTCATGAATCATAAGCCACCGACTAGGGTTTTCCAGCCTACTCTGTTCTGGGCTCTCCTTTCCAGTTGTTGCTAAGTGCTATTTATTTTTTTTGGTGTTTGCCTCCGATTCCCAACTCAGTATGTTCTTTGGTTTTCCTCTTTTCTGATTGTCTCGAGGACTTTGAGTTAGAGCTTGCTTTATGGTGAAGTATGATTATTTTGGCTATGTGTATCCTATCCACCTCGGAAGTTTCCTAAATGAAATCAATCTGTGACGAATACAATTTACAAATTAAACTAACTGCCACAAAAACGCCTTGAACTAAACCAACAAAATAATTTGAATTACTAATATAATCCATTGTTTGGTTGTGAATGATCATAAACATTGTTTAATCTAACACAGTAATGTCAATCTTTTAAAGTAATTCCAAGCATGATGCTATGTAACCATGATGTTGAAATATTCCTTCCCTTACATAGTAAATTTAGTCCCAAAATTAATAGATGAATATGTATTCAATATGTGGCTTTGATCACACAGATTTTAATGAATTAACATAGATGAGAGTACGCGGTTAATTATCGACTCGATTTATTGTAGTGCACTTTGAACTTGCAGCTCTCTAAACGGTTGGATTATCTTGGATGTGCCTACTATCAATATGAAATAAATATATACCTCTTCAGCTGATACTTTTCCTTCCCTGTTTTGCATCTTTTAATTTCTTATCACTCTGTCCTGAAATGATTTATGTTAATTTGAACCAGTACACATTCGTATCATGTTTTATGATAACGAGACTTTACTGAGTAAATGGTTTCCGCTACAAAATAATAGCAAATCAGGATTCCGTAAAAACAGAGAACATTGGATATCTATTTTTATTTTAAATTAAAGCATCTCAGCAATGTCAGTCTACAACTTCACACACATATGATCATATGACCCATGAATTTTAAAAGTCTTTTGGTGAACTGATAGATAATTCCCATTTAAACACTACAAATTAAAACACGAAGTTCAGCGAAGGGATCTCTTTTCAACGAATTTATTATCAAGCTGTACAATCGTATATATATATGAAATTTTTTTGTTAAAGTATTAATTCCATGAGGAAATATGAACATGAATAACCAAGATGACGTAATAGAAAAAATTCTACTATTGTCGTCATCTTTCAAATACATGATCACACTTTATTAGTTCGTAACCTTGGTCTTTATACTAATTTTATGGATAGATCTGATGATTTATTCCCGATTCGAATAACTCTAGAAATTATGGTTTCACAATCAAACTTGTGACGAATTTCGCCATACCCACATCGCCACATCCATCTTGTCATTTATCAATACTTCATTGTAGTTTATGAAGATGTTTTGTAAAAAAATGACTTGGACAGCTTAGAAGGTAGTTATATATATATATATATATATATATATATATATATATATATATATATATATATATATATTCATTTTATGAAATACATTCAATCGTTCCTGTGACACAATATTGTTTATTGTAATTATTAATTAATAAATATATTACTAGTGTGATTAAAGTAATTACTGACCTGTGAATGAGTTCAAATTATAACAATTTTATTGTTATATAAGAAATCAAAACTTTACTGAATATGCTTATTAAATTAATATTAATTACTGTGAATAGTAATAATGAGTTTATGTGTTGATTAACTGTGTAATTAAACATCCTACTTTCCGGTATATATATACATATGTATATATAATCTCTTTGATTATTGTAAGTTATTCCGCTTAGTTTCATATTTATATATCATTGATGACTTTCATTGAATTGATGTTTCACACAAATAAACAATATGTACTGAATTCAGTTCAGTTTGCATAAAGAATTGATTCATTTTTGAGGAGAGTGGTGAATTTCTAATACACTTGTTATCATAATTAAATATTTTAAATTTTCAGTTCGTCATGACAATATATAGAAGGATCATTGAGAAAAATGAAGATATACACTGTATTAAAACGAAACAGTTATCTAGTGCTCTCTAGTTTTCATTGTTACTTCAATTAATCTGTGATGAGTAATACCCACAAATTAAAATGGTCACTAAAAAATCTTTCTTTAATTAAAAATCAAATAGTTATGTTCCATTTGTTTTCCTTTTCATATGAGGAATATCTTGAAACGAACTACGTTGTGTTGGTCCCTTTGTGTTGAGATCTACTCTACTCGCATACATTCAGTTTTGTTTTCTGTCAGACAAATCGAGGGGGGTTAGATTTTAATTATTATCAGTTGATTTTACATACTCAGTAATCCAATTAGGTATGTGTTTAGTTAACTCAGTAGATTTGGTTTTTACTGCATACGTATAAATAAGAAAGAAACGTTTAAATTCGCAATCTTTCCTTAGAAGAAATTATTTCTTCGTACAGTAAACTACTGCTTATTTAGAAAATAGTAATTACGTCTTAGTGAATATTGTGATGATATTTTTATTAACATAATTTATGAAGTAATTGTTAGTTGATCTTCAGATTATGGATCGATTATTTAGTGTTCAGCGCATCCAAATTTCACTCTTTTGGTTGTGAGCTCAACGATTGCTTTAACTAGTCCTGTTTTAAGTAAACGGATCATATAACTAATTGTCATACTTAACGTTTTATTCAAAGCTAAGTGTAAAAACCCATAATTAGTTAATAAATTACATCTTAATTGATCGATTTGTTATTAATATATAGTGAATTCGGATTAATTTTATCCACTGGTGGTTGAGTAGTATCACAAGTTCCCATACACATCTTGTATGTTGTGCTTAAATAAACAAAACTTAAAGTCATTTATAAATCTCATATGAACATAAATACAACTTGCACGCAACCTGTGTTCATTGGGTATTAACTAAAGTTCTATCATTTAGCTCTCAGTATTAGTCGATTGTAACTAGTGCGTTAATTGATTTAACATTACAGTTTATTTTCTTAATAATATATGGGTAAAAACACTAGACAGGTTATTGCCAACTTAATTTTCATGATGTTTAATACGCTTTAGTGAATACATCTCTAATATTCAGGAAAGATTCAAGGTTGCGACAGTTCTTTACGATATGTTATTCAAGTGTTGACAATTTAATCATCTGACCTCATATCCAGTTTGTCAGCTCCGAAAACAGACGGAAATATTATCGGGAGATAGATGAATAGATTGAACTAAAGGAATGAAAGGCATTCACTTGTGATTCTCTACAATATTTCATTCACAGTTTTGCATATTATTAGGGAACTATTTGAGATTTTATATTTTGTCTATTTCCAGCCTATTTTTTTTATAAAAGAGCGGATAGATGAGACATTTAATAGGTACACGCAAAATATAAATTCCCTACACATTAGCTTATATAATTTATGGGTTGATAGTAGATTATCACAAATTTCCTGAACGTATTCCCATAAATCCTACATTGAATAACACTATAGAAGCAAATTGACATTCAAAAAGATTAAGACGCTAATCGATCATTGAATAGTTTTGTGTTGTAATGTCAGGTTGTTTGTATTATAAACAGTCACTCACCCCTCATATTACTCAACGATGATATCTTTGGCTGGTTAAGTTTCATGAGGAACATCATTTTTCATCAAAATGTTCCAAATAGCATGATATATATTTCCGAGCCCTTGTCTTGATTAACATCAACGATATCGAATGAAGTATATCACGATATTTAGTGTTTTAGAGACTACTAGCCACATCGGGATTTGATTAAAAAAGTTGATTAACACAACACTAATAGTTGATATGCGATCACCGCTTGTTTTACGTCGAATATATTTTTACAACTTAGTTCTTCACTCATATACTTATTTATTTAATAAAACAAGTTGTTTTTCCCTAAATTTCTATTTTTAGCTCGACCTATTCCACAAAAGTGTACATTGCGTAAGCATAAACCAAATCGTCGACCGAGAACTCCATTTACAACTCAACAATTATTAGCATTAGAAAGGAAATTTCGTCAAAAGCAATATTTATCTATTGCAGGTTGGTTAATTTATCAACATTATTATTGATTATAGTTCACACATACATTTCATTGTCTTTTTGAAGCATATTCTCAAAGTTTGATTTTCCTCATTATCATTATCACTACAATTATTTCATTTCCTTTGCTGTTCATCTTCTTGTGGTTTTATGATACGGTAACTCGGGTTAACGTGTATTTGTACCAAGCTGTACTCTGACTATGAGAAACTTATCGTTATTATTATTATTATTTTTATTATCAATATTGTTCTGAGTACTTTTTTTATGTATGAGAAATGTCTATCACGTTTACTGCTTGTTCAATACAAGAAAACCAGTTTCATGTTATTGTAGCGATAAATATGTGTGCAGAAATCAATATTACTAGAAACTGTATTTAGTATTCCTGTGTGTATGAGTGTGTAATATGAAGCTTTCTAAATTTAATGGCCATCATTTAGAAAGTATGTTTCTATAGTTGAAACTTTATCTTTCGATAATTAAAACTGGTTTGATCTCAAAAAATAATGGATTTTATGTATATTGAAGTAAACGTCTCATTACAATATGTATTAAAGTTAGTGCAGTTATATAAACGATTCTTCTCAGTCCCTCATTTTTTTTCCGTATGACTTCTACTGAAAACAATTCCAATATGCTTGTGATTGATGTTATTATATATATATGTTAACATTTCTCTTACAGATTAATTTAAAATGCATGAGTTCTCTGTTAATGTGTAATAATGCTCCATGTAACTGTAACTGTAAAACATGAAAGTCTTGAGTACGATCTCTAGGGGAGTAGTAAGTGGGTTCTACTAAGAAGTTACAACCAAAGGTCAAATAACTGTCATCTACTCTTTATTTTCCAGTGATATCTCAAACGAACACCAAACTATTATACGTATATCAAGGATAATAAATCAAATATTACCTAAACTCACTAAAGTCTTTACTCTAGTTTCTCCTTATCGATCAACGTTTTATATATTCACCATAAATCTATTGTTTACCATTACGACTCAATATTTCCTACATGTTATCTTATTACTACCTGTTTTATTGTTTCCTAAACTATTTAAAAATACACTTCTATACAAAAGTAGAACCTAGAAAACTTTCATTATTGTTAATAGTCAACTTTTAGACCAGATTATAAAAATGTTTATTGATGGAAATCTGACATCGTACAAACAACCGATTACAATATTATTTCCTCAAATAAAAGTCATTTCTTATTACCGATATCTTTATTTACACTACAGCAAAGAACAACTTTCAAGCACATTAGAATTTGTTTATGTACAGTAAAATACTAAAAGCTTTAAGACCTTCAATAGAACTCAATCATCACTGAAGGCTAGACAAATATGTCAGCGTGAATATCTTACCACTAAAAATGGGTCTGTCATTTCTTTAATATCTCATTATTAACGTGTCTAAATAGGACACTGGGTGGCGAGAATTAGAATTTCACAGAGCACATTAGTATCCTCAATATTTCCGATAATTTTCTCTGGTGATTACCAACTAACAGACAAAATAAACACAAATTCTTGTAAATTCCTACCAAAATTAGATAATTTTACCAATACTTACTAAGTTGCAGATAAAAGTTGTAACTTTATAGAATCTGTTCAACTAGATGCAAAATTAGATTGAAAATATAAAATCACTGTAGCGTTTACATATAACACAGGAATCTTAGAAACGAAACTAGAGTTCATCATTTTGTCATTAATCACTAAAATATTATCAAAATGTTTTTCACTATATATTAATTATTATCATATTGTTCGACTAAGATTACTAAGATTACAAACCTATCTAAGTTATATAACTATTGAAATCAAAAAGGACTAGTCAGTCATTCTACTCCTGTATGAAACTCTTCAGTACTGTCCATTTACGATCTCATAACTAAGAATCGATTATTATTGTGATTAGAAAATATCTAATATATATTAAACTAGATTAGTTTCTTCATCATGAACATTTATATCACTAACAGGAAATGAAACCTCTTTCACCATTTAATCATAATCAAAAAAAATTAACTGTTGAATAGTGTTCATTTCATATATCCATCTAAAATAATTTTATATTATATATCATAGGGAGATTTTTATTCATGTGATTTATGTTCACTTTTAATAAGTCCATCATCGTTTTTTTAAAAAAAAAATACATCTCATCTAAATATATTACTCATATAATCAAGCCTACAAATAAATAATGGTAATAATACATGATTACCACTTAGGATTATTTACTATTATTACTATATCAACATGATTATTACCATTATTATTATTAATGGATTGTTTACTCTGTGTACTTATTGCTTAGAATAGCACTCAGTTTATTTAACGATTCATTAATAAATTAAATCATTTGATTAATTTCTCCTTTAAAGCTGTGAAAAAAAATTTCTCTTATTATTAATATAATAATAATAATACTGTTTATCCTATATGATTATTATTTAATGGGAAATATCCTTTCTTTTCTTTCTGTAATTTAAACAACAACAACAACAACAATTAGGTCAAATCAATTAATTATATTTTTATCCATTACTTAGTCAACTATGAAATGATTATCATATTCACAAAACCCCTCTCTTACTACTTATTTATTTTGTTGATATTTTTGCGTTGTGTTAAACAACAGTGGAATAAATTAAACAAATGACACATATTTTTTTAATTATTAGATATGTTCATAATGTATTCAACTATTTTTATCTTCAAAGTTGAATTGATGAATTAATTTAAGTTAGATCACGATTGAAAACCCGAAAGCACTGGATGATTGTTTCATTCTAGTATGGAGACTTCTCAGGAGTACACATTCATGATCTCATACTAGGGTTCGAACTCAGAACATTCGATCTATTATCTTATTATACGGATTAATATCATGTTTAACTGTGGTTAGAGGTTTGTACTTAGGCTTTCGGTATGTTGTTAGTTTTAGGAAAGTATAACTGAAAACATAGGCTTAACATTGAGAGTCCACATAGTTAACACATTGTAAAAGCAAAATGAAATATTAGTTAGATACTGAATAAGCATGCAGAATGATAAAACAGGTTGATAGCAATTGAAATCTCATAACCATCCGTTTAATTAAATCTGTTAATCTTGATTGAAAATATAAAGTTCTGAATATTTAAATGAGAATATCTCTGAATATAACATTGAATTATAGGTGTTAAAATCCTACAAGGATCATCAGTTCCCTTAATATTGTACACAAGTCTTGCTGATTATTATTTATTAATACCATTAATGTATTTATTCAATATTATGTTTTTTGTACAATATGGAATTCTGAGCAAAAAGTATTTCCATAAGTTTTCTATTCTTGTTTCTTGACCGATCCTGACGATAAATAGTGAACGATCTCCAGTTAGATGTCAGCAGTTCAGGAATCGATATCTGAATAATATTCATTTTTTTCAATTCATATTGCCAGCCACCACGATGTCTCTGAATCTACTGTTTTGTAACTTGTACAGCGAAAAGTTGCAAAAGTTCCATAAATGCTCCTGAATAGGTTATGAGATTAGTAGACAGAATGATGTGTCAGAAAAACGGATAACTTGTTAAAATATATCAAGATGTAAGGAACAGGTAGCTCAGATATTGAAAAAGGTCGCCGTAACCGCCAGAGTGAAAACTGACGCGAAAATTAGATTCTCGGATTCATGTCAATCTCTTGGCGATCATCTAACATTAAATGTTAGTACAAAAAGTCATGTACAACTGACTGTCTACTGTATCGTTTGATAAAATATTTATTTCATCAAAAGAGTGATGTTTAACACCACACATAGTATTACTCCTTTTTTTCGATAAAGTTGATTCTCTCAATAAATACAGATTATTTTAATATATTAGAAAATCTAATTGATGTGATTACGATTCTTTTGATCAGATTTAACATTTCTGTATGTGCATGTGAATTATTGTAAGAAATTTTATCTGTGTACATTAATGTATGTGAGAACCTCAATCATAAATGTGGACATAGACAGTTTATCATTTTACTTCATACTATTCAATTCTTACTTTTTTTTGACAATCACAACTTTATCGTCATGATCAACATACGTTATCGAAGTAATTTTTTTAAGAAAATAAACAATCTTTACTCATAAATGTTTCATGTTTTACTGATCTGTGTTTTTATCTTTTATCTGTTAACAGATAAAGTTTTTTGTTTCATCATTTTTCACACTACATCATTACAAGGTGATTTCTTTTTTTTTAAAAAACTTGTTCTTTATCATAGTGCGCATGAAAATGACGAAACAAGTTATTTAATCATCTACATCAATAATATGAACATAATTTGACATTGAACATACTTACTACACTCTTTAAGCTGAAAATATGATTTCTTAGTGTTCTCTATGTATGTCTGTATATGTTTACATGTGTAAGGTATACCTTTCATCTTACATGTTTAAACATACCCTATGGAAAGACGGGTATAATTAACCCTTTTATTTAAAAAATATATTTGAGGAAATTGACTTATATTTCAGAAAAAATATATTTAAATTGATCATCATTCATTACCGTTATCACTTTGAATCTTTTCCATTCATTGTGCACATCCATGTTTATGTTTGTATGTGTGTGTACATATCATTATCATTGTTCCATTATTGTTCATGTGATTGATTATGTTAGTACACCGGTAGGCAGTTTGTTATTATCGTGTATATGTATGTGTATATTAGTGATATACAATTAAGTGAAGGTAAATTTTCCATGTCCTACCTTCATAATTTTTGGTTAATTTGTGTTTTGGCGATTTTCTTTCCATGTAAATTCTTTTCTTCCCCCTTAAACCATTACTTGTCACTCTTGCCTCTCATTGATATTATTCCTCCTCCCAATTTTTCCCCACCTCCATGTTTATCATTTTTAAATTGAAGACAATCGGTAAAATAATAAGTTGAAAGAATTTTCAATGTTTGTTTTTTTTCTTGAAATTGTAGCA